TGTGGTAGATCTGCCCGCTACTTGACCATCCGTTTGGGGACATCAGCCGCCTCCTGGTTCCCGACTGGGGATATTGACTCACTGAAATTGTGGACCGGATAGCTAGGGACGGTCTGGATGAGATCTGGACCTAGCACGTAGGCATCGGCAGCACGTGGCGGCGACTTCAGAGACTTGCTGGTGTTTGGGGCGAGTATTGCTACTGGCTGTGTATTATCGATTTGTATTTTTTTTGGAAATTTTCATTTGATTAATCAGTTAACGTAGGTTACAAATCAAACGGTTAGCTGACGGTAGTTTGTGGTCGTCAAACCACGTCTTCTTGTTCTTTATTAAGCTCACCATTTTCCTTTTTTACGGTAAAAGAATTGAGTAGGTATTTCGGCAGCATTGCATCGCTGTGTTCTAGCATTGCTGCGAAAGCTAGTGGCGCTCAAACAAACTCACCATTTGGGCTTTGCACACGACCGCCCGAAATACCCGCTCAAGGGAAACCCCTTTTTTATTCTCTCTCCCTCTCTCTCTATTAAATTGTCATTTAAATCGTTGCCTTAATTAAACAGTTTTCACTAAAGTTTGATTTTTATTCTTTTGTTCTGTCCAGAATGTGCTTGTACTTTGCACAAACAGTCGCAATCAATATTTTTTCTTCACCAGAAAAACCTGAACATCTTTGCCTGGTAGTCATATTATAAACTTTTATAACCGAAATCACGGAGACAAGTACACTAATAAGTCATTAGTACACAATAAAATATAACATAACCAATATATTAATGGCCGCGTAGCTGCGAAAGATCATGTGAAATAAAATTCGATAATCATGAAGATAGCAACCTAAGCCAAAAAAGCGGAGGTACCATGGTGATTCTCTGATTAACTAACAGGCGATTAGTTTGCGACGGTGCAATGCATTTTTTTTTAAACACCGGTTAAAATATAATGTGTTCAGCTAATCAGTGTTTAAAGCGAAAACGGTCCAACCGGGGGTAAAACGAACTCTGTGGCTCGCATGGTTCTTGAAAAACTTCTAAAAAAGCAGCGTTATGTTCAAGTGGATTTTGCGACTCAAAAAAAAACCACGCAAATCTAAAACTTCATGAATTCAAGCATTTTTTGAGAAAACTGCAACATTTCCTTATCGATGGTTCACTTTCTAAAAAGGCCATTTAGTTCTCTTTGGAATGATATAAAAACGAGCGTTCTTGCTCATTTTGCTTCCCAGAAACATGCAAAACGGGACGAAAAACATGAAATTTTGCAATAATCTTACGCCACCCTTGCACAAAACGACGATATTTTTTCTTATTTTATAGACAACAGAAGACTATATTTTTTCTACATAACCCCCCCTGAATTTAAAGCTGGATCCGCCCCTGGTCACCAGAACACAGACACTTAATTTTATATTCATTTGCAGGAAGGTAAATTATTATTTTCATTTGTTTGTAAATATATGAGTATTTGTTTAAATGCTTGTAGAATATGAATAATCTATATATATATA